GAAAGCGAGTGAGAAAGAGAGAAAGAGAAAGCAGATCAAGTCTCTGGGTTGACAAAATGAGAATTGTATTTAATATGTGTGGTTAAATAATCTCTTCTATTTCTTTGTGAAGGTCTTTAACTTGCTGCAAAATCAACAATAATTCATCTTTCTTTTTCATTGCTAATCCTTTGAACTGTGGGCGATTTGTTCATTCAACGACTCAATCAATGATTGGATTATCAATATCAATTCCTTGTTTGACATTGAGCTTTCTGCTGTTTGCTTTTCTTCTTTGTCAACAGTAACTGGAACAAGGTGAGTAATTCCAGATGATTTTGTTGAGCCTAGTAGTTTTTCTTTGATATAATCTGTTCTACGAGCTCAAGCTAAGGAGGTGAATGATTTCATTGCCTCACTTAATCTATTTCCCCCATCCAAACTCTCAAAAATAAATTTAGTTTTAATCGGATTTAAATAGTCTTTCTTCCTTAATTCTACGCAAAAACGTTGTGCTTCCTTTTGAAAATCTGGACGTGAACGAGGACCTGTACTTTCTTGATCCCCATATCTGATTGTGGTGAACATTTTTTTTCGAAGCTGTTACCCGAAAATCATATTAAAAAATTTACTCTGTAATAGCAATAATTTACTACTAACCTTCATAAATTTAATGGAATTTCTAGCAGCAATCACCCAATGTTTATGTGTTGGAACAGGCGGTACAAGTGTTTTTAGTGTTTTGTTTACCTCTTCAAGTATAGCATCTAAGCCCTGGTGTTGAGATATCCATCCAGACCTAGACACAATAGAATTTTGTTCAATGATCTGACGAACTTCAGGATGAAGACGTAATAGTTGCTCTTCGTCAGCAACTTCAATTGATTGATAAATAGGATGTCTTCTTGCTGACCAAATTGGAGCAAAAATCCTTCGTGCCGCTGCTTTAAGTAGAGGTTGGTTATATCTTATACTGGTGCGGTAATTGACTATAGCTTGTAGATACCAAAAGATCTTAAAAATTGATATATTTATTAGTATTTATTTTATTTTATATTCTTCAATTACTAATAATTTACCTGTTCAAATTTTAATTTATATAGTTCATCGTTTTGATTCTTAGCCCAATCAAGATATCCTTCAACAGAAGCATCAGAAACTGTAGTAACATATGGCCATACCAATTCCATTGACATGGCATGACGGTATATATTGCAAATTGAATCCCATGCTTTGTGATGGTCGGAACATTTTTTAAAGTAACCCAATTGACTCTCTTTACGATATCCTTGACATTGAGCAAAAGTTTTTATATCAACATTCCTAAATTCAGAAAACATGAATAAATAAAATAAATATATAATTTTAAAAATAAAATAAATATATAATTTTGAAAATATATAATTTTGAAAATAATTTTAAAAATACCCATTTAACTCCACAAAAGCTTTTAACATATTCATTTCTTCGTGAAGTTGTCCTGGAATCATGAGAATTCTTGGGTAATATTTCTTAATCTTTTGTGCATAATTATATGGTACTCCGTCACAAATTACTGGAATCCATTTTCGTTCACCTTTGTTAATTCCACTAATCTCTTGAATATGATCTAACACTTTACGAACATTTTCAATAGAATTAGGATTTAATGGTAAAGGATCTGGAAGAAAAATATCAGGCACTTTAACACCATCTTGAGGTAATAACCTATGTGTTATACTGATTGGGTTTATAGGATCATCAGAGGTGTTGGTAGAACTTTGGTAATATTTGAAATGTAAAGGTTGGGTAATATTTGTATCAAGGATTGATTCTTCTTGTTGAATTTGAGCAATATTGGCCAATTTTTCATTACAATCAGGGCATTTACGTCGTAAATTTTCTATCTCTACTTTACCACATTTATTACACCTTTTTTGTTTACCTATTATTGTGCTATGCTTAGATGCTAAATCATCAATAATATTTATACTATTATCTTTTTCTGCGCATGCTTCAGTTAAAATTATAGAAAGATAATTATAAAGTTGTTTGTCAAGTAATTTCTGCATCTCAGGTGTAATGTCAAAAAGTTCTTGAATTTGCGATAAATTTAAATTTTGATATAACCAAGGTTCTTCGATTATCTGTGTTTGATCTGTAGCATCAAAATTAAATGAAAGAAAACTAGTAACTGTATGAAAAGTTACTGTGTTATAATTGCGATCTAAGTAATTTTTAATCCCTTTTTGTTCATTATCAAAGGCCAAAAATAATAAGCCTTTTGGAAGTGGTGTAGATTCACCAGCTAAATCTTCCTGCCATTGGATAAATTTTTTGTAACTACCAGAACTCAAGAAGTGATTATCTAAATCAATAATAGTTTTTGATTTAGCTATTGAGTACTTGATTGCTGATGCAGCTAAATTGATAGCAGAAACATATTTACGATGCCTTGCACCATAAATAGCATCAACTGCCACTGCACATTTAAAAATTTTTTCTCCTTCATGGCTATCTTCATTTCCATGTGCTGTAAGTGTTTCTATAAATTTTACAACTACTGGGTTTTGTTTAGCAAGCCATTCAGAAGTAGAATATTTTAAAAGGTTATCTAAACTAAATCGATCCTGATCATTAATTAAATTAATGATATCATTATATAAATTATTACGTTCCTTCTGGGCAATTATTGTAATAAAATTAATTCTTGATTCCTGATCATCGAATGGTGTAATTAATTCTTTTTTTAATTTTTCATTTTCTACTTTTAATTTATTATTCTCTTCTTCTAGTCTGTTGATTATTTGTTCATTTTCCTTGATATTTCCAACATAATATAACCTCTGTGATTCTGATTTTTTTAATTCATCTTGTGTTTTCAATAACTTCTCATGTGTTTTTGATAACTCTATTGTAAGCCTTGTGATCTCAGCATTAGGTAAAGTAGCTTGATTGCTGAACTTGTGAAGCTCTTCCTCAGAAGATGAATTTATCACGGGTATAGATAAAGTATGCCTTAATTTTTTTCGTTGAGAAGTTTCTTCGGAAGAATCATCTGCTTTTTTTAATTTCTCAAGAAAATTATCAGTAACAATTATTTGATTGTAATGTTTTTCACAAATTGAATAATTTTCTAAAGAATCGCATAATAAAGATAATTCAGGAAAATATTTAATAAATAATTTTACACGTTCTCTTACTGCTAATCCTGATGCATGCCTATACTTTTGAATCCCAATTTTACATGTTGCCAGTTGGCTTTCTGGATATTTAATACAAAGACCATCAAATAAACATTGTAAGGTATTGGCAGGTCTGGTGTTTTGCATTTTTAAAGATTAAAATTTATAAATTTAAAAGATTTAAAAAAAAATTTTGAATTTTCACGTTAATTTCAAGTAAGTTTTGAGTCTAGACAATTCTTTATGCTGTTATATAAGGCTTTGGGGATGAGAGCGGATTATTAAAGTATATATTCAAAAGAATGTATTTCAATATTTATTTTTAGGGTTCATATAGGGAAACATGTAACCTAATACAAAAGGAAGCGTTTTCTAAACTCGTTTGTATCATATATGAGATGATCGGCAAAAGGCTCTAGAATCGATTTCCATATTTGGAAATCTCCCTGACTGAATTGAGAATTTATTGTTGCATAATATAAACTAAATTTATCACAGTGATCATCAAATTGTGATATAAATAGAATTTCCACTATGCTGGTCTAAAACCAAGTCTTTTTATATCTCTTGAGGTATTACAAATAACATGACTTTTACTCTATTTTGTCCAATAAAATATGCTTATTAATGCTAAATAAATATATGGGTCAACTGAACATTACAAAATGATAATTAATAATTCAAAGTAAATATTTGCACCAGCTGAATAAGTTTTGTTGAAATATAAATATAGAAATATGAATAGAAATAATTGTTCATGTGATACTGTGCAATATGTGGTGCAATAGTTTCACAAAATATAATATTAAAAATAGAAATGATGTAATGGGTATCCCGTGACTCACATAGTAATTTGGTTTGGTTGGATCAGCAAAGTGGGGACCTCTCTATCAGTCCTTATTTTACTATCTCACAATATAAATTTATTTGAAATTTGAAATTTTAGATTTACAAGTATTTAAATATGAGGTGGGATTACAAAAAAACATGCTGATTTTTTTTTTTACAAAAATTTAAAATTTGATTTGTAAATCATAATCAAATCCTAAGATTAAATAAAATTTGATCAACAAATTTATGAGGGCAGATCAGTTTTTTAATTTCTGAAGATGTCCATGTCCTGTGACTGATATATGTGAAAATTTTTTGTATGTGGAACAAATTTATGTGGCCGATGTGGGTCAGCTCACTATCACATTACCGCTGATTTATTTTTTTTATTTTTTAAAAAAATTTCCCCTTGTTGATCATCTCAAATTAATGACACGCTATTTTTAGTGTCACAACACTATAAACTCACATGACCCAAATGGTTAACAATAACATTTCTTCTGCAATAGTTAAACTCGCTAGGATAACTATTAAAGAAAATGAACAATTATGTAAAATATACTGTATGTTTGCTATTTTTAATTTAACATATGTTTTTTTATTATAATCAGCACAACAAATTATAATTAATAAATTTTTATTGAAT